TAAAATAAATAAATAATTTGATGAAATGTACTAAAAAGCGGTTATGTCATAAGTAGCAACTGTTTCTCTTCTGACATATTTGAACTTTGTACATTACTTATTCATATCAGAACTGAAAGAATTTATCTCAGCGTCAATTCCTCCTTCAAGCACGATTATAATATTATTACATGAATTTTGTACAAGATTGAAGTCAATCTGTGACATATTCTACATTTAAAACAATTAGTCCTTTTGATAAATTTCAATAATGCAATGAGAAGACGAAGGTTAACAGAATTATGTGATGATATATTTGTGAAATACATTTCGAACAATCTGATCACATTCTTATATGAAAACTAAAAGGTCAACTAGACAAATACATAAAGTACACAAAAACAATGTGATAACCTTTCTGGGTACTAAATCAGTATTACCAGGGTAGGTTAAGGGTAAAAAAAGATTGTTTTTGAATACATACAGAGGGTTTCAGTTTCCGTACTATACGTCCTTGAAGGCTTTCGTATAACACGACAAATGCCGACTTGATATCGACCTTATAACGAATCTTAACAAAATGTTTCGTAATGGAAGACGATGTCTGTTTATCCTATGAACTTATTTAACCATTGGGATTCATTTGTTTCTGCAGCCATTTGGGTATGTGTTCCACCATCCTTAATTGCTTTTCCCTATGTACATGTTCCGCACGTATATGTAAATTGATAGACACAATGGGATGTGCTTTTTGGGTTTTTGGTGAAACATAGACCTTGTATTTTCAATAATGCCAATTTGGGCTGCATAAAATGTCCTGTTGATGACTAATTTCGATCTCCGTTTCAACTTGAGGCTATTTGGGTAGCCTCTAAATGATAAGTGTTATGTCCTTTGGTCTGTCTACCCACTCTTGGTGCTGAGGCTACTTATCTAATTCAGACTAAGACCTTGGCGCGATAGGCTGACCGACCTAACCTTGAGGCTAGTACGCGTGAGTTCGAAGTGGGGTAGAGAGGAAACTATTCTACCACCTGATTGGCTGACAAGCACGCGAATGAGAAGACAAGACAACTGGAACACTACTCGATCTATTCCCGATATCCTGATTTCAGTTCAGTTCGGATTAGTGTAAAAAGGTACATGAATAAATAAGTGAATAACCCGATCATAAAGTACAATAATTAGGAAAAATACAATTATGTCCAATACTGGGGATTAGCGTAGAAAATAGGGTACAAAATATTATGTTTAAATTATAATAGCTTCGGAACAGAAAAGGGTGTGGCAATGAATCATACATCGGACGAAAGCTTATGTTCTGTAGAATGGAATAGGGACAAAAATAAATGTTAGTGTTTTACAAGCTTTGAATAAAATGGGATAACGTCCCGAAAAATAGCTTTCGTAGTTTGTCAGGGCTTCTTGTTTCCCTATTCACACCAGTAACATAATGTAAACTGGCTTTTTGGGTGCCAGAAGTATCATAGGTCTAGTCGTATTGCAACATTTCCAGCGGTTTATGAACTTCAATGAATACTAGTTAATCATTAACGTTTTAGTCAATAGCTTCGTCTCTACTTCAGTAGTATCGTTAGTACAAGTATGATTGATTCTATTGAATAAGCCTCTTATTAATCCACGTTTGTAATGAATTGGGTAGTCACTATGGAAATAAAGATATTACCCCGTCCATGTCGGCCTTGAATGGAACCATCATCTCTCCTACTAATCAGTACGTCTAGAAAAGGAAGTTTGTTATTTTTCTATTTTCCACATGTAAGAGAACTATGCTTTTGACTTGTGTTAAGTTCTTTTAACAAGCGGTTCACATCTTCACGTTTATCCCCTATGATTATGATATCATCAACGTAGCGTTTATACAGGCACATCTATTGAATTGAGTCTCCAGCTAGATTTTCAACATATCTCATAAACACATCAGCCAGAAACGGTCCTAAAGGGCTACCCATAGCTACGACATTGATTTTTCGAAAGTGCTCACCCTTAAAAGTGAATTTTACGTTGTCAGTACATAATAATAATAAATTTTTAAGAGTTTTAACAGGAAATGGCAATGGAAGGTTATTCAATGAGATATTGTCACATAAAATATCAATATTTTCCCAAAGAGGTATATTTGTAAATAAAGTGTTCACATTAAGGGAGAACACTGTCTTTGTTTTTATATTCATGTTCATTAGGTACTTCATCCAAATGAGTCAATCAAAGAATAATTACAAAATTGATTTCGGATAGGGTTTAACACCCTTATCAACCATTTTTCAAGGTTGTATGTAGGTGACCGACACAATGATAGAATTGAACGTAATGGGGTATTAGGCTTATGAATTTTTGGTAATCTATATAAATTAGGATATACTGAACCCATAGATTTTAATGAGTTTAACTCATCCTTGTCAATAGCATTCATGTTTAAAAATTTCATTAGATTCAAGTTTACTTTTGTAATAAAGCTACAGTTGTTTCTTGGGAGCTATGGTCATGTACTTAGGTCTCCACGATCACACTTCACTCAGCTTTCTTATCTAGCCCCTCAAGAAATATCCCTCCAAAGAATGGACCACCTCTCTCATACCTATAATAGTACTCCAGATTACCTTGCTTACAATTGTTATTGTATGAGGCTTCACTTCAGATAACATCTATTATGGTGTTTGAAATCTCCTGGTTTAGTGTCAGTGGTCTTGACCTCTAACAGCACTCAAGATCACTGAGACTAAACCAGGATATTTAACTACAGGTGCCTTAGAAATATTGCTCCCAACTGCTGGGATCACCAGGTAAGTAATAGTGAAGTTAGACGAAGGGTATTAAGAAATGATGGTAAATCAGTTGATGAGGTTGTGAATCTTCATCGACTGAGATGGTTGGGTCACGTGTTACGTATACCTGAACACCGATTACCACGACGAGCAATGCTGACCAGTGTTGGAGATGGTTGGAAGAAAGTTATGGGTGGCCAAACCAAAACGTGTCATCAGTGTTTACAGTCACTAACTTCTAGTCTGAGTCATGTTGGTAGATGCAGATTATTTGGGTGGGGTCCGCGTGACTATCGTAACCAATGGTTGGAGACTGTGTGTGACATGACTCAGAATCGATCACAATGGCGTCAGTGTATACACTCTCTGTCATCCCTTAAACTCTGAGATTAAAATCGCTTCATATCTTACTTTCTACGAACTAATTCTTTCTTGCTGTACTATGTCCTTATATGCCATCTTCGTTTTATACATTTTCACCATTGTATTAACTACTTCTATGAATCCGGTGTTCATGTTGTTATGCTAATAAGTGAGGTATGGCAACTTGGACCGATGTATATGTGTGTCTGGTCCTACATTGTAACTGACTGACTAACTAGTTTAGTCTCAGGTACGGTTATGGATGTATTTTGAAAAGAAGTCTCAAACAACAAGTTGTCTAACATTCACCAATTTTCAATGTGGCATCTTAACTGAGACGAATTTTTGTTGGAAGAAAATCTTGAATTAGAGCATTATCGAGGACTGTATTCAATAAATCGATATAACTTGAATGGTTGTGATCAAGTTTTGAAAAGTATATAACTGATATTCTGAACTATACAATTTCGAATAGCGTGTAGATGAATCCAAATAATGAATGTTAACAGGAATGAGTTCTAAGTGTTTAGTATTGTTTTTGTTTTTCAGTTCAGTTCATTCTTTCATATTAACTAGACAATTTACTGTTGTCTTTCACCATTTCAGTTTTGGGGTTTAACGTTAATTCATTCTATTTCAACATAATTGTTCAACGATAAAATCAAATGACTTCAAATTACTACTTAATAATGATTTTGTTATTTTCATAGTAAAAATATAAAGTAGAAGAGAGAGTCAATCAGAATTGAGGGCATTACATTTAAGTATTTACGTACATTTTAAGGATAAGTGGCTTTTATATAAAGATTTTACATAACACAAGAATAAATTAGTTTCCTCTTTGTTTCTAGTAAACTATTAGTTTTTGATTAACATCATGAACCGATAGATGTTAGATCACCATTGAAAACCTGGAAGCAGTGGATGACCTCAATCAAAAACTCGATAATCTCCACAACCTCTATACTAATAATTACCACGTGCTCACTAGTGAATAGCTTCGTGAGGGAATTCTCGGAGTTCTAGTGAGAAACCGTGACCAGTGGAGCTAATCCGTGTCAGGTAGAGACAGGTATCTATTTCAGTACAATGGAAGATGGTCACTCAATTTCGTGGATTGGTTGAGGTTAGACAATAACACCATTGGATGGCGGCTTAGTGGCCCTGGGTTCGAATCCCGCGAGCGGATCGCAGATGCGCACTGCTGAGGAGTTCCACAATAGGCCGAAACGGCCGTCCAATGTCCCCAAGTTCTCAATGGTGGTCTAACATTAATCGGTTCATGATCTTAATAAAAAAAATCTAGTATGAATAGACCTACACTTAGAATAATAATGTTATCTCATGAAATTTCTGGAATATTAAGACCGGAAAATTGGTAATAAACTTTGAAAAGCCAATAAACAAACTAATTTGTTTCGAAATACTCTTGGTTTATACGAACTTATTGCTCAGTGACTAAAAAGTCCTTTCAAAATCAAGGAGCCAATTTAGCAATCGCTCAATCTCCTCCTTATACTATACTTTTATCTCACTAACCAATAAGTATATAATTACTGTTTTACCATGGTGTTTTGTTTGGAAGAGTTCGTACTACTTGAAAACAATTCTCTCATTCTACTCACTGAGAGACTAGAACATTTTAAATTCAATCTTGTAAGTGAATGTGAACGATAGAGAAGTTGAAAACTAGGATGATGAAATAGTTTTTCAGTGTTCCTTGCTTTTTCATTTTATCTTACATCAGTATCAGTTTATGGTAAGCAAAATATTGCCATAGTTTCTTAACTTTGAGTAATGATCCAAGCTCATATTGAGTTGAGAGTTATGGATTAGGCAGGACTTATCTTTCTTTGTATACTTCAAACGTAGAACCTGATAAACCACATCGTCATCCACCGCCACCTCAACCTATTGATCATGACCAAACAAAACGTTTAGACGATAAACCAAGCCCAAAACCAGGCAGAAGATCAGGCCATGGAATGGTTTCAGGTTAGTAATTTTTTAATACCTTGATGTTCTTTCAAACTAAATTATTGTTTATTTGTCTTTTGGAAAAAAGCTACGAGGTTTCAGTTATATATTACTGATGGGTACTCGTAATTATATCTGAAACAGCAAGGGGAAAAACCTTAGATGAGTCTGGGTTCGGGGTTATTGCTGGTGATTTTCTCGGTTTTACAAAATCCCCTTATGATCACTTTGAAAATCACAAGGAAATTTCTGTCACCATTTGTGCATCATATGAGGATAGGAAGATACTTTGTTGCAAATAAGATTGAATGACCGACTGATCTTCTCTGAATCTGGATTACAAATAAGATTAAGTGGGTAATCAAACATTTTCAAACTCTGCGATCCGGTCAAGACCCAATAAATTAGAGGATTCATTAGTAACATAGCCTTTAGATTTAACTGTTGAATCACTAAATTTAACAATACATTTGATAATTCCAGAAATTTTTATTGGGATGCTCGGTGCACTTTTTACACAATCATTTGTAGAATGAATGCTTAACCGACTAAGTTCGTGCCAAGTTTTACGACAAAGCAAAAAGACATCAGATGTAGTGTCCAACTGCAAAGTCATGATACATTCATTAACACTAATGGATAAGTACTTACGTGAGCATCAGGGGTTAACATAACTGATTCTTTTTGGCATCCGATAATGAGATGAGGGTTTGTTGCGTTTGAAAAATCCCTCCTTATGACCCGTTACTCTACATTTTGCTCATTTATATTTCTTGAATGGGCGCAAACGGGAGAAATGCCATGTGTCACAGTTCCAATAAGTAGTGGAAGACCTGATTAGCTCTCTATAGCACATACACATGTGTGTGTTAAGAATCGTAGACTTGATGGTTTTTTCTTCAGTAGAATTGTTATCCTCCTCAACAGTGCTCATCTACGATCCCGTACGTAGGTTTCGAACCTATGACTTCGGTCTCACGCGTGAATGCTTAAGCTCTAGACCACTGAGCCGGAACCTAACGGTTTCATTGAAATTTTGTTGAAATAAGACAGATCCGATTTTTGTACACTGTTATGGTTTTAGACATAACTAGCACTTTCATATAGTCTATAGTATGTTTTGTGAACAATCCTTATTTGAATATTTCACGAGACATATTTCCCTTGATTTTGTATGCTTCAAGAATTAAAGTCTACAATATCTTGCATATATTTTTGTAATAACCACACTATATTCTAAACAAAAATCAATGTTTTTGTTTACACGTAATTGAGTTGTTTTGTCGAAGATTCGATAGAATTAACCTATTCAGTAGACTGTTTACTTGATTATGCGGTTAGATTTGCTGAATTCAATGAATATCAAAGACCACTGAATATCTGTTTAATTCTAATTTGAGACCTTTCTGCATAGCTCTGTTTAAAGTAATCAAGGTTTCTAGTTGTATGAAAGCGGTATTGTTATTAAAACAGGTAATGTGCTTCATAATCTATCATATAAACTGAAGGGCATAATGAGCATTTAGTTAATTGATGAAAGATCATATATACCGATTATTTATCTATTTATTTGAGCACATAAATACTGGTACAAGAGGGCACCAAATATATATGCGCCACACCATATTTTTGTGTGTGGACTTTGATACTGCCCGGGTGCCCAGACCGAAGCAGGTGGTTTTCTTAGGGGGCCACACCCCGAGCCTTTGACCTAAAGGTCTAACCCACAAGGCAGTGGAGCATCGTGAGGAGATGCAGTCCCATGGAAGCCTGTGACCAACGATTGGTTCACATGCCATTTGTTCCCGCAGGATACTGGAGCCCATGTGCACCATTGGTTTGGGACCCGGTTAGAGCGCCGGACATTCGCCTTTCGTCCTCTCATTTTCATAAACAACACCCGCGCCACGAGAATACAGTGAGTAGAACTTCCCTGGCAGAGGCTGTATACGCGTGGCAATATGAGAGCATTTCGAGGGGGAGGGCGGGCCCACCCCACTCTCGGTCATACCAGGGCATTTGGGGGCATATACCGAGGCATATATACCGATAATCATAATTATGAGATACATGAAATGATTAAATCTAAGAACTCTAAGAGCGAATCACATTTCTTAGATCTTAGAAATAATTTTCTGATTTGATATTTTTTTTAGTTGATGAAAATTATTATGTAAATGTACCTGGTTCAGGTCCACCAGTTATTCGTCCACCATACAATGGACACAAGAGATCACTGCAAGATTTAAGTGAACGGTCTGGCCCTCATAGTGCTTATGATCCTAGATTGGGCGATACAGTTATTCAACCAAGTAAACCTAGAACCAGTGATAGAATATCGAATCAAATGCCTGATTATTATGATCAATATACATCGGATGAAAGTGATTATGATGATTCAGGAGAATCGGATGAAGAACTTAGACCACCAGCATTACGTACAATAACTCAGACAAGGAGACGATCTGAACCAGAACCTTCGAGTATGTAAATTTCTAGTTACACAATTACTTTTATGGAATATTTTTGGTTATTTATGGAACTCAATAGAGTCAAATTTTATAAATTATTCTGTAACTATTTGAAAAAAATAACTGTCAGTCATCCTGTTACGTATTTGATTTGGTTCAAGCTGTTTAACCATACTAACGCAAGGAGTTGATTTTGAGATGAGTAAGAAAGGAGTTGAAATATTCTTAGAACCGATGACGTTGAAATTAACTAACCATAAAAAGTATGGTGTGAAAAGACAGAGTAGGATATTATGCATGAAAGAATACTGGGGCTCAAGATCTACAAGGAGATAAAAAGTGAATATATTTACGCGACTGTTACTGATTTTAAGCCATGTCGTCCAATGTTCTCAACCACTGTTTGCATTCTTCTCGAGGATCTTCAACCGATAATCTGGTTTTACCTATACGGCTCAAACTAACAGCTAATGAATTCTCGATTATCTTATTATTATTGTTAGCTTTATTCGCTGTTAGATTTTTGGTACAGCATAAAATTCTCAGCACAAAGTATTTCAACAAGTTTCCGTTCCTTACTTCTTCGTCGATCCTGATGACAAATATTGAGTGGTCGCTGGCTACAAGTTTTAGCAGTTCAGGAATCGACATCTGGTGACAGGAACAGGTAGCCCAGATGTTCAAGCATTAATAATACTCATTAAAAATACCATAAAGGTGTACTAAGAATTTAAAATACGCTATATTTTTTTCGCATCGTTACACAGTTACAATAAATTACATTAACATCAGACTGGATAATAGACTGACTACATAATTCAGTTTGCCATTCCTAGTCATTTCTCAATCTTTCGACTACCATAACGGGTTGGGCAATCGGATGGTTGTGGAATATGAAAGTAACTGATTGACTCGAGACACATTCCAATAATTAGAAGAGTGTTTCTTAAAATTCTAGATTTTGTGTGTTTGGTGGTAAATTTAGACAGTTTGGTGGATTATCGACTTCATGAGTTGCTATATCTTAAATGTAAATTTAGTTAACTATAGAAAACTCCTTGCTACAGCTTACAACTACACTCTTTACTTATCAGTATCGTCTAAAAGTTGGTTACCTAGTCAGTTTATTTACCAAATTTATCTGAATACTGCTCCGACTAAGTTATACATAATGTTGTCTACCAAACGAATGTTATGTAAAGTTTAATGTAAGCCTCTGTATCTGATTGTGAATGATTTGTTATTAGTTTAGATGATCAATATAAATACTTTCTTCACAAAACATGAGTATTAAAACAGAAATGTTCTGACATTTTGACCTTTCTCTAAATTGAAACCTATTATATAAATGATGGATAGTGGCTAGCAGTGGAGTCCTGCTTATGCAATGAGGTGAAGTTTAAATTCATTTGGTGCCGTTCTACTTGTAGCTAAGTGGATAATGCGATGGCGTTTGGAGCGAACAGTGCTGGGTTCGAGTCCCGGAGTGAACGTCAATTCCGAGATTCAAGTACACCCAGCTGACGAGTCCCAAATAGGACGAAATGCGTGTCAAACTGGACTCCACTGCTAGCCACTATCCGTTTTTGCTCAAAAACCTTGCGACTTAAGGCTATATCGAGGCAATCCTCACAGGGATGCACATATGTCAACATGAGACTGCTCTATTGCAGTCCTAAATAATAATGAGAAGATACAAGTAAAACAACACCAAGTGAATCTATTATATAAAATGCTAATATTAACTAAATTTATCAGGTACTTAATTATTATTGAGTTGTTTATTGATTATTTATTTACAAATGCCCAATGAAGACAATTATCCACCTGTACAATTAAGAAAACAGTCAAAAGGACAAAAAACTGGACAGTCAATCACATCAATTCGTGATAGCCTTATTAGTCCTGAAGGTATGTCAATTCCTTCCACTCCGGGTTATGAAAATATTTATGGTATTTATTATAATGATAAAACAGGTAAATACATGAAAGGACTAGATCGTGATCATTCAAATGGAATGTCACAAGAACGTATATCACGACCACGTTCTAAACATACAACTGCAACAAGTCGAAGTTCTGGTTATTACGGTGTTAATGGTAAGTAATTATGGAATCAAATTAATGGGCTGATCAAATTTTTAATTAAAAGAAGAATTTTCACTATCTGAACTAAAATATTAAAAGTACATAAATAGTGTTGGGAGTTCATGAATGTCCTTCGACAAAATCTAGAAATCCAGGCTGAAAATGTTCCATCCAATCATCATTGAACAGAAGCTACACAGAAACATAGGGGAAGATTATTTGTCAAGTTTGGATTGTATAATTATTTATATTGTTACCATATTCAGCATGCTCTCAGAAGTCTCTAGGAAAGAAAGGTCATCTGAAAACCCATAAACACACCCGACCGTTTGTCCATAAGTTAATCTTGGAGTAAAACTTTTGCTCATATTTATCACCTTTTCTCTGTTGATCAAGTTAAGTGTAGTAATAGTTTATGACTATAGGAGGTGGCTGAGAGGTCAATAACAAGCTTTCAATTGGAAGATTTATCAAAGAGAGTGTGTGTGTGAATATAAACACATTCATTCATACACATGACTTTTAGCTATAATCGTTATTTATGATAGTCATATGTATTGAGGCATGTTAAGTTTAATTCGAACCAACAACCAGTTGGTTGAAAGCTAAGCTCTTTTGCGTTTGAACAACTTCCAAGAAAGTAATTGGATGTTAGACCAGCGTTTGGTTCTATTTTTGGAGGTAGTTGCTATTCTACATTTGATACATGTGGACTAATGAACTATTTCACTTTGCCAAATATTTCATCTTCTTTGAAATCTGGACTCAATGAATTAGGGAGTAGTCCAAGGTAAAAAAAAATGGAATTCATTTAGTATACTACTTTTATTATCCATTAACATACTGTGTAGCCTGACAATAGAATGTTCTCTAGTTGAAACTGAACTTTAAATCTGTTTATTCGGCTGACGTTTTTTTGTAATAATTTTTGTGTAAATCATTATATACATGCTACTTGACTGATCATTTTAGTGGTGAATGATACAAGTAAGTTGCGTTTAATACTTTAACGATCATCATAACATCAGTACATTGTTTTGCAAGGATTGTAAACTTTTCATAGTCTAAATCACGAACCGATCTTAAATAGACTACTATTGGAAATGAGAGAGAACTGAATGACTATTTCACCCTAGTATGTTGTGACTCATCAGAGGTGTGCATCCATAACTAGTTTGAAGTTGCGACTCCTGGAGTTTCATTGAGACTGTGACTAATGGAGTTAAACCATATCAAGTGTGAAACAATTATCCTCATCAACTAATGGATCAGAATTGAGCATTATCATGAATCAATTGAAATTAGACACACAAACTGTTGGATTATGAGTCAGTGTTCTATAAGTTAATTGTTCACATGTGAGATCGATGATCCTGTGTTTTGTCGCTCATGGTAGGATTGTGAATGTGCATTACTGATGAGCTTTATACTAGGATGGAACATCTGTTCAGTAGTTCCAGGTTTCTATAATGATCTAAGTGAGATCAGTTTGTGATTTAAAAGCTACGAATATATCATCATACTATTTTAAAAAAGTGTTCATCATTTATTCATTTTGTTGATGAGTCTTTTCCCTTTTAGTAATAAACTTCTATTGTAATATTTGATGTAATTTCGGTTTCATCTAACATATTCATACATAGATATCTTAAAGGAGAAAAAGAAATTAGATATAATTCGCAGCCAAGCTTTGTGTTTGAACTCACGCTGAGTTATGTGTTCCAACTGTTTAGTGATTTCTTAGTGTTATCAGTCCTCAGAAATCAGTTAAATAAATAATTGGCGACACTATAATTTAAAGACGAACGAATCAGATTTAAGATAACAGGTCTCGGATTTCGAAATTCATTCATCCAACTGGCTAAATAGAGTTTTGGCACTACAGCTGATGTCAGTTTGTGAGGATAACCCGAAATCTAATTCCTAACCTTAACTATCAACTGTAAATCATAATTCTAATTCCCCACACTGTTTTGTAACCCTCATTTAGTCCTAGTTAGTAGGTGAACACTCTCAAGGTCAGTTTAGCGTCACTCAAAGGTCGTCCATAAATTATAGTCTCAGCAAATAATTTATAATTCAGAACATTTGTTGAAATTAATCACTGACTGATTTATACGACACTTCAGCAGTACGCATCCATGAAACCACCAAGTATTCAACCTATTATCTTCAGGTCTCGCAGTGAACTTTCAACTTCGAACCATATTAAATACATAATATTGTGGAACTATTATACATTCCCAATGATAATATTATATTCTTTCGTACCTGATATGATCAAAATCTTCTAGTCATATCCATTTCTTCCCGTACTATGTCTTTATATGCAATCTTTCTTTTGTATATTACCACCATTGAATTAACTACTTCTATGAATCCGGTGTTCATGTTGTTTTGCTAATTAAGGTATGGTAACTTGGACTGATGCACATATGTGTCTGGTTCTACGTTGTAACTGACTGACTGACTTCTAATCACTTCTCTTAATGTTTCTCACTAGTAAACATAAAGTGAATTGTTACTGAAAGAGTGATTTAAGAGTTTAGTAAACCTTGTAATTTTTATATTTTCCGTTAACTAACTTCAATTACATTCGAATGGAAAATTAAGGGTTTTTAAGTTAACTAGATACTGTGTGACTTATTTTTGTCTTAAAAAAATAAACATCTCACCCTAACATTACTTCTGTCATCATTGATCAATCGATTTCTGTATGGAAACTTATAGCAGGTTTGCCTATTTGAAATTCATTTCTAATATAACCTGTATAACTAGAGCATAGATACAACTAACATACATTTTCATCACCAGTTTGTATGAAGAAAATTAACATGCATCAGATGTTTTTGTTATCAACTAAAATCAAATAATTGTTGCCATTATTTGTCATGAATAATTAAGTTTAGTTAACTGAATTTATGACTTATTTTCATTTAAACACATAAACATTGGTACAAGGAGGCACCAAACAGATATGCACCACATAAATCATTTGATTTATGTGAGGGCTGAGATACTTTCTGGGTGCTCAAACGGAAGCAGTTGGTTTTCTTAGGGGGCCACATTCAGAGTCTTCGACCTAATCCACAAGGCAGTAGAGCAACGTCTGGAGACGCAGTCCCATAGTGGCCAGTGACCAACGATTGGTTCATACTCCATTTGTTCATTCAGGATACTGGAGCCCATATACACCATTGATTTAAAATTAAGGTTTTCCAACTCCCCTAGATGGATCCTCCATATCGACCAAGGCGGTAAAAGCGCCGGACATTCACTTTTCGTCCTCTCAATTTCGTAAACAACACCCCCACCACGAGAAAACAGTGAGTAGAACTTCCCTGTCAGTGGTTGTATGCACGTGGCCATATGTGAGCATTCGAGAGAGAAAGAAGGAGAGAGAGCTGATTCTCCCCACTCTCTTTCGTACCAAGGCATTTGGGGGCATTTAACTGAATAGAGTAAACTACAGCGAAGGAAATATTGAAGTCACCACATTCAAAATCTTCGATGTCAGTTAACTAATTTTTAAATATTAATTAGAACTAAAGATCCACACAAGAAGCAGTAGTAATCATAAAACTTCATATTAATTCCAACTGATGAGTATGAAAAACCAGACCCAGGGATTTATGTCTTTTAGATACAATTGTTCAGTAAATAACACTGTATAGTTAGTTACAAAGTGACCTAATCATACGGCTACCTCTTGAAGACCAAATTTTGTCGTCTACTAACTAAACAATGAGAAGCTTACATAAAGTACTGATTTATTATTTAGGATGAAGTTTTGGTCGAAAGGAAGAATTTTTTGAAAATTAAGTATTCTTAAATATTCTGTCAAGATAGTTGATTATTCATAGACAACGTAAGATCTGGTAGAAAATTGTCCATAGTTTTAAGTTGATACAATTCATACCATGTAGCAAGACGATCAGAGGAGACAATAATATCAGATGCATCCGTAAGAGTCTGTACTTTCCAGTTCTTGACGTTTGTTGATCCGTATCATCATGGATGATAGAAACTTACAAACACATACGAATAAAATTGATACCTGTTGCACCAACCGTTGACTTGCTCGACTCATTAGCTTAGTGGATAACGTGTTAAAACTTGAAATGAAAACAACTGGATTAAAGTCCTTATCTGAACACCAACACTGGGATGCAACTACACTAGATGCCAAGTTTCGAACGGGACGAAGAGAGAATTCTGGATTCCACTGCTATTCACTATCCAACTTTAATAAAAGTAGTAATTGTAGTATAAGGCCAAATGTAGGAAGGGTATTTCAAAAGGGGCGAATGGAAATAAAGAACAAGCAGTAAGGACTTGTTGTGATTCGCTGTGTCCAATAATTATACTGGCGTGCAATTTTCCTATATACCTATATGCCTTAGAAAATTAAGCCACTGGCGATGTATATATTCTTCCCTAGAAATTAAAGCTACTTTTTGACTAATCACATGTGTTTAGCATTTGAGTGATTTCTGATAGACCCGGTGTATAACCTTTTCCTCTTAAATAATAGGTCTGGCTTCTCAGAGTCAGCTGAATATGTTGGAATACAGGCGCATCATAAATGACATTAAACTCAAGATTTTAAAAAAAGATCACTGATGTATCCAAGTCCAATATTGTAATTGTCATAGATTACAAATATCTTACGATTTGCAACTTAATATTCTACAACTAACGACATAGTTCAAACTGATAATCAATAATTCCAAGAACTGATACCATATATTGGTTTCCCAACCACTAACTTTGTTTCAACTTAATCCTAAGTCAGTCAGTCTTATGCATTGGGTTAGATATGGTAAATGCTTCCCCTATGTAAGGCAACTGATGTTTACATTATAATACCTCTCTCAAGCTATACACCTCACCCTAGCATTGTTCACCTAATGGTTCCATTACATGAGAGAAATGTTTTGAATATCTACCAACTTTATATGTCTTTCTGTTTTAGGGACCATGTTTATATGTACTAGACTTGTATAAGTTAGCTGAAAATTATCAGAACATTAAATAACTTCATTAGTTGGTAGTATATAAGTAAATCGAATAAACACTTTTTACAATCGTATATGTTTTTTCTAAGGTTCAAAACACAGTTTAATAATCAGTACAAAACGTCGAACACTAAGTGGTTTAACTGGTACCCACCCATCAAAACATCGTTCCAGTTCAATGAATACTTTATGGTTCGGTGATCATCCTGTACCGTCGGAACATACAATCTCGCCAGCTACACCAGTTAGATTATCAAATATACAAATACAAGCTCAAGCAGAACTTGAACGTCGACACAGATCATCTTCACATGGACATAGTTTAGACAGAAAATCTATATATAGCACAGGAATGACAGAAAGTCATTTGTCCAAAGGTTTAAGTGATTATCATCAAGGTTATGAAGGAATTGGTTATGCATATGATAATCGAGGAAGATTAATACATGGTGGTGCATGTTTACCTGAACGTTCAGCTAGTCGTAAACGTCGATTATTAGATGGTCATGAAAGTTTATCAAGAGTATGGATACCACAAAGTGGTGAACACTATCCAATTAAACAAATATCTGATAAGACACCTAGTTCGCTAATGAGTAAGTTCTTATTTCCGGTATATATATATATTCATAACATGCTTAACATAGAAATTAGCTTAAGGTTAGTGTCGATTAACATTCGATACTTATTACTTGGTAAAACAGTAACTCTTAAGAAATGTAGAATTTGACACATATACACATAGATTCAAGTTACCACGCCACATTAGCACAGCGAAATGAAATTATCAAGACGAATACTAGAATAGTAGAAATAGTAATGGTATCAATATTTGGTGTAAACAATGACTGGAGAAAAAGAATGACTTCACAGAATAAAAACTCTAGGGTAATTTTAAAGCTCGAAATCTAAGAGAAGAAAAAAGTGAATACATCTGTATTATTTTAAGACATATTCTGGGTCGTGTCATCCAACATCTCCAACCATTAGTGAGCTGCACCAACCAACATGGCTCTATCTCACAGTCAATGACTTCATAGACCTATTCCTATATCATTAAGCTTTGGAAATCAAGCTCGTTGATCCATTGGCATACACAATACATGTCCGAACCATCTTTTAGATAACAGACAATTGTTTCATCACTGTATCAGTCGAATTTCTGGTGATTAGTTTATTCGAGTCAAGAGTAAAAGTGATGAAATTAGTGGTTAAGACAAAGTTGTAAAATATAGACTTTGTAAGTTTAAATCATCGAGACTGTAAGATGTTCGTAGTTTAAATCACAAACTGATCTCACTTAGATCATTATAGAAACCTGGAACTACTGAACAGATGTTCCATCCTAGTATAAAGCTCATCAGTAATGCACATTCACAATCCTACCATGAGCGACCGAACCCAGGATCATCGATCTCACATGTGAATAATTAACTTATAGAACACTGACTCATAATCCAACAGTTTGTGTGTCTAATTTCAATTGATTCATGATAATGCTCAATTCTGATCCATTAGTTGATGAGGATAATTGTTTCACACTTGATATGGTTTAACTCTACTGGTCACAGCTTCTAACTCACGAGTAAATAAGTGTAATTATCTTGTAATCTTCAGTGATTATGTACTATCTCTTGTGTTTTTTGTCATTTCGGATTCCCTGTCCGGGTGATTTTTGATGAACTGAATATACGAAAATCATCTATACAATAATTTTTTAGCAAAGAAGTTAAAATTGAAAAAATTCTAAATAAAAACCATCTCAAAGTTACTGACATTTGTCTAGAGAGAGGATAAGAAAGACCGAATAATAGTTAGTTCTATGAGTACTAGATTGGATTGAAATGATAGAAGAAGAAATGAACAATAATATGTGATATGATGATTCATTTCAAGAAATATAACTTCTATGGACATCCAAGGTAGTTTCATTAGTGGTATTAGAGGTAAGGCAAGTTTAGTGCTACAAGTGGAAGGAATTTTGGAAGTGATAGAATTTATATATATATATATATATATATATATATATATATATAAGTAATGATACCGCCAATTAGAGAGCAGTAATTTATCGACCAGACCAATGACATATAAAACAAGTACGAGCAGCCTAGAGTCCTTATCGGTCCTGCTTCCTGCCTAGCTCTGACTATTACGTCCAGAACACCAATCTCAACCTCTGTGATATGAATCATTTATTTCAAACATAATAGGTTTATATACCAACCAGACAGACCACACTGTGTCATAAAATAGGAAACGACATTTATACAAGATCTAACCAAAAGTGGCTGTGAATGTGGGAGATAGTAATTGATAGACGGGGCATAACTCAAGAATGGTATAATAGCAGTTTAATAACAGTTCATAGGTTTATAGGAACATGAATATGAATAGTTTATTTACTTAACAATTATACAATAAAAATATATGTATAATATTATTCTATAAATGGATCCAAATAGTTACTATTCAATATTATCGTCAGGATATAACAGAACTTTTGTTTTAACTGAAGTTGAATTTTTTTTTCCATACTAATTCTAATTACATAATCGATCAAAGATTGTTAAACTATTCACTGTTTTTAACTATGAAACCCTATGTACACCATTAGTGTACAATCAAGGTTCTCCAGTTCCACTTTGATGAATTCTCCGTATCTACCAAATCCATTTAATTACCGGATATCATCTCATATCCTTTCACTTTTTCGGAACACTGTCACTAAGAGAACATAAGTCAAAATGTTTCAAGGAATAATTCTCATTGATGGTACTACACAGTCTGTAAATTCCTCCTGGACACTTTATCCTGTTTTTTTTTATTATTAACTAATCAGCTTAAATCAACTAGTCATTTGTCTATCAGAATTTTAGATTGATTAACAATGTATAGAAATAGTTATGCTTCTCTGAGTTAATAATGTTTCACAGTTTCAAATAAGATATTATCATCTGAGGTTCTTTTAGCTTAGTGAGACATAAGGTATGGTGAAGATGTAAATTCTGTCTATTGTTTCCAGTTGATTGTTGCCAGTATAAATCCGTTCTTATTATCCTACAAATGTACCCAGGACGAGACGGCCGTCTACTGCTTCCAGGTTTTCAATGGTGATCTAGCTTAGATTGACACATGAATTCAACTATTCTCATTATTATCAGAAGGGGTTTTGTGGAGATTTTAGTAATTTCAATAGTTGAAATCATGAGTCAATTGAAGCTAGACCACCATAGGAAACCTGTAAGCGCTGGACGTCCGTTTTGTCCTATTATGGAACTCCTCAACAGTGCGCATCCACGATCCCCCGCGAGATTCAAACCCAGGACCTATCAGTTTCACTTGTGAGCGCTTAACCATTAGACCACTCAGCCGGCCGACATCCAATTGTGTTAATGTTTAACTTCAACCAATCATTATCTTGCAAATGTACCCAGTTATGTGATATATAATTTCAATTTGATATCTCATGTTCATTATGTTAAACAATATTCTGAAATCTATGTCATATCATTTAATAGATCAAAAGAGTCTTATTGAAGGACGAGACGATCGTCTACTGCTTCCAGGTTTTCATTGGTGATCTAAGTTAGATTGACTCATGAATTCAGCTATTAAAATTACTACAATCTCTACAAATTCCCATTGTGATCAGAATAAATAGTTTTTTTTCTGTCCTTTTGATAATTTTTTTTAAAATTGATTGTCATATAGATCGGGATGAACGGCAAGCACAATTGGATAATTCAGCGATGGCATTTGCTTTACGGGATTTTAATGCGCCTAAAATTCGGTGAGCTCAAACAATATAACAGTAATATTCACATTACATCTATAATATTATCTATCTGTCTATCTATCTATCTATCTATCTAGACAGAAACGGGTTTCGAATAAATCACATCGGAATCATGATGATGATAATGCTAATATTAATAGTAATAATAATAACGATAATAATAATGTTAAACATGTAACCCATCGTACCGCTATACGCAACAAATCAGATAGCATTAAGAAACATCAATGCAGACCATCCATTCTCAATTGTTGTATGCGATAATCTTACATTTCTTTGCTTATATCATCATGATCATTATTATCTGATTGGCAATGTTTTGATTAACCCTGATTATAATTGATTTATTTTATTCATTATTATTATATTTTCTTATGATTCCATTTATTTTTTAATTGAGTAAACTAATTTCTATACCTGCATAGTGATTAACCTTAATCTATGGCTGTGACCTTTCATGAAAAGTTTTGGCTTGTGTTCAGTTTTTTTTATATCTTAGTTACATCCACAAGTTTTGTGTGTGTGTGTGTGTGTGTTTATGTTACCCAAGCACTTAAACTATCAACACAAAAACAGAAAACATATCAGTCCAGTTTGATTTTTCCTTTTTCTTAATGTTTTTAACCAAGAAATATGAATAATTTGTTTGTTTATTATTTTGTTTTTATTTACACCGTCTTCAATCAGTATATTCCCTGATTGCTGTGAATATTACCGAATAACAAAAGCAGTTTTTTGACTTTTATTTTTTTTACTACTGATTATAATAATATCAGTAGTAATATTAGATCTCAGCGATTTTATACCCGTGCATGTGCGTGAATCAAAACATATTTCTAGATTCTATGTCCATAGTATCATGGTTTCCTAACATACTATAAGGTTGGTTGTATTAGAAGAGGGTTTTTTATGGAGTGTTCTCTCACTACAATGCTACTTGGGTTGCCTAAAATGGAGTAGATAAAGTATGATTTAAAGTTGTAACATATCATTCGAAAGTCGAGTAAGTTAACCGCTAAACTATTGGCTCTGTCACTCTAATGATTATTAAATTGACAATTGAGAGTTGTGAGCATCCACGACCCCGCCTGCCGAGATTCGAACACAGGACCTACTAGTTTTGCACGTGAACACTTAATCTCTAGACCAGCCAACGGTGTTGATGTCTAACATCAACTAATCCACGAAATTGAGCCACATATTCATCATTGTCATCAGTGAGTTACTATCTCACAATAGACCCGGTTGAACTCCACTGGTCACTGCTTCTCACTAGAACTCCAACAAGTAGTTCTTGAAGCCAGTCTCTAGTGAGTATATATTGATTAATATCAGAAGAGGTTTTTTGTGGATATTATAGTAATTTCAATGGTTAAAATCATGAGTCAATTGAAGTTAGATCAACATGAAAAACTTGGAAGTACTGTTTGACGGCAGCTTCATCCTATTGTAGGACTCCTCAGTAGTGTACACTCACGATATTTGTCTGTTATTTTCATGAGTAGTATAATATTTGTCGTGTAAAATGTGTAGATGATTGGAAGAACGATAGAAAAATTAGAAAACAGACAAAAACAAAACAGCAACACTGTATGAGTGAATCTCTGAGTCAGTAATTATTTAAAGTAATCTAACACCATGTGTTAAAAAATCAATAGTTTTGTTCCGTGAACTTATATTTCAATACAATATAAACTGTTTCAAACCGTATATTTAATATACATCTACGTTATTGACAATCAATTTTAATTTGTATGTTTAGCATTTAATATGTCAATGATTATGTTTAATGCCTATTACAGTGTTTTAGTACTTAAAGGGCGGGTCTATAATTTATGGACGAACCAATCACGTATAAGATAACAGGTCTTGGATTTCGGCGCGAAATTCACTCATCCATTTGGCTAAATAGAGTTTTGGCACTACAGCTGATGCCAGTTTGTAATGAAAACCCTAAATCTAATTTTTGACCTTAACTATCAAATGTAAATCATAATTCTAATTCTTCACACTGGTTTATAACCCTCATTTGATCCTGGTCAAATACATAAACTGGTATGTGGTAAGCGAATATAACAGTAGCATTAATAATAGCATACATATCTAAGACTTCTGGGAAAAACTGTCTACATGCTGCTTACGCCTGTTGCTCCTCGTGGAGCACCACCTTCTAGTTAACATCTTTGTATTAAGATTGTGTTTTACGGTATTGGGTTACTGACCTTATGCTCAACCCTCCTCCTTTACCCGGGCTTGGGACCGACAATAACCCTAGAAGAGTTACAGGCAGAGTAAAAAACCATTACTGTCCCATAAATTTGAAAACACTTTATTCTACAGTACACCTTGTATGTAAGGTAAGCAGTAAAGAGTCCATAAATAATTTGCTCATAAAAACATATTACTCCATTAAATTTATTTTGTGATGCTAATTATCTTCATACTGTCTTGATGAGTGTTAGGTAGTTTGAGGTAGGTGGCAGGAAACTGTGATTGTTTTAGGCCACATGATAGTTGGTATTGGTTAAAAAGGTTTGGTCGCAAATTTGAAGGAAACCAATGCTACTTATAGCATTTGAACCAACGTCACATTGCCTCATAGTCTGAATATGAATATTAGTATTAATAATAGTAGTAGTAGTAGTGTGGTATATGCTACTGGTGTTGACACGTATAAGCAATTTGTATCACTATTCGAAAGTGGAATGACTGGCATCAGAAGGTTGACAAAATCGAAGAGAAGAGTGGTTGATGTGGAAATGAAGGAACAACAAAGTCTGAGACAATTGATGGATATTTTGCAAATGAAGTATTTACTGTTTAGTTCTAAAATTTTTCTAAGAGATTCTGTAATTTTGTATCCCCATACATATGGTTGTCCCAACTTGTATTCTCGTTCATTACAGCAGTAGTAGTAGTAACAGTAGTACAGGAAGATCCACAAATTAAATATGATCATAAAAATGATTTATTTAAAATTATTGTTTGATTTGCGTCTGTTATGAGTCACCCGTGTTTCTGACTTACGGGCTGGGACGCATCGAATAGCTAGCTTATTGGTCTACGGTCACAAGTCTTTGTTCCGTTCGCATACTATGTGAACTCGTAATAGCTTCAAACCTAGCAAATATGCAAAAAGGCAGTAAGCAGTTTATTGCTTATTAGAGCCGGTTATTTATAAGTTTTATATATAGAAATTTGAATTCTAAACAACGGTACATTGAATATATGTTTCTGTGTTGATTTGACATTATAATGTTATTTAGATAGATTCCACCTCAAGGGAAAGAGGAGAGGATACTTTTAAAACTCTATGGATATTTACTATTTTAGTTTTAAGTGAAAACTGTTGAATATAAAATAGAATTTCAATAGTTGAATTCATGAGTCTATCTAAGCTAGACTACCATTGAAAAACCTGGAAGCACTGGACGACCGTTTCATCCCAGTATGGGACTCCTCAGCAGTGCCCATTCATCGATTCATGATCTCACTCAAAAACTCAACAACCTATGCCATCATGTGCTCACTAGTGACTAGCTTTGATAGGTAATTCTCGGAGTTCTAATGAGAAGCCGCGACCAGTGGCAATTAGTTACTGAAGATAATGGAAGATGATTGTGCAATTTCGTGGATTGGTTAAAGTTAGACATTAACACCGTTGGATGTCGGCCCAGTGGTGTTTACAGGGTAAGCATTCGTGCGCGTGACTGAAGTTCCTGAGTTTGAATCCCGCGTGAGGGATTGTGAATGCACACTGGTGAGGAGTCCCACACGAAGACGAAATGACCGTCCAGTGCTTCCAGGTTTTCCATGGTGGGTCTAGCTTCAATTGACTCATGATCTCAACTATTGAAATTACTACAATCTCCACAAAACCCCTTCTGATACTAATCAACATATGCTCACTAGTGACTGGCTTCAAGAGGTATTTCCTGGAGTTCTAGTGAGAAGCAGTGACCAGTGGAGTTCAACCGGGTCTGTTGTGAGATAGTAACTCACTGATGACAATGGTGGATGTGTCGCTCAATTTCGTGGATTAGTTGAAGTTAGACATTAACACCGTTGGATGCCGGCCGGCTCAGTGGTCTAGTTGGTTAAGTGCCTGACGCGGGACTGATAGGCTCTGGGTTCGGATCCCGCGAGGTGGGATCGTGGATGCGCGTTGATGAGGGGTCTCACAATAGGACAAAACGGCCGTGCAGTGCTTCTAGGTTCTCCATGGTGGTCTAGCTTTAACTGACTCATGATCTCAACTGTTGAAAGTCTAACAATCACCGATTTGTCTTAGATTGACTCATGAACTCAACTATTAAAATTGCTACAATCTACACAAATCCCAATTCTGCTAAAATATAATTGTCACATTTGTTAAGTTGGCGAATATGACAAACCACATTGCAATCAGTTAAGTGTTCTTGACAGTAACTTGAATTCATTTCAAATATTCATACAAATAGCTCGTTTTCCTATCCTTTCATAGACATTAACCGGGAACAACTTGATGACTATAATCGAAATGAAATACATATTCCTTTGTTTCATTTAATTTAATCTAATACAATACCATCATTAATAACAAAACATTTTAATAGCGTTTCATAACTTCTTAACTCGTTATGATAGCTTATACAACACTAATTCTCTTTATGTTCTCATCTATTGATGATTTCATTTTAGTAATTTAACACTTTTTATTCGTAGTGTAGAGGTGTTCTGTAGATTGTTAGATTTAGCATTTCATATGGCATAGTGATTGCAGTTAGTCATCTATTGAAAACCAAGAAGGTAAAGACAAATATCTCATCATAACATACAAATCTTCCATTATAAGAATCTACGATCAAATGGGGATCAAACTCAAGATCTCCATGTCTCGGATCAGTTTCTTGATATTTAGACCATTAGGATGTTGTTATACGGTGATTATGAACAGACCTCATCAATTGAGACTAATGATATTTATTTCACATCCTACATAGTTTAGCTCCACTGACCTCACCTTCTCACTGGAACTAACCAAAGTCAAACTCTAATGTGAAACCATAAACATTTATTAGTTTTGAAAGTCTTTTGACGATTATATATTTTCAGGAAGGGTTTTGTGGATATTATAGTAATTTCAATAGTTAATCGCTCGAGCGCGAGACTGATAGGTCCTGGGTTCGAATCTTGCGAAGCGGAATCGTGGATGTGCACTGCTGAGGAGTCCCATAATAGAACGAAACGGTCGTCCTGTGCTTCCAGGTTTTCAATGTTGGTCTAGCTTCAGTTGACTCATGATCTCAACTATTGAGGTTATATATTTCTCGATTTAACTTTTCTCTTCTATTTTGAATTGGTCCAGCTAGATTAAAAGGATTAAAAGTGTGTAGGAAACTTAAATATAAAGGACTGGATGAATGTATACAAAATTTGTCTATATACATTTAGCATTCAACTGGTTTCGTTGAGACTATTGTGGGTAATTACTTTGACCGTCTTAAATGTACACTTTGCAAATATGCGTGATTTGTTCAAGTTTTCACTACATATTATCTCTTTCCTCTTAGGCAATTCTTCCTTTTCGAAATGCACTTGTTTTTGGTTGGTGATTTCATCATAAACCAACATCTATGAATAGAACTATAAAGTCTCAGGATGAACTTGATAGCCCTTTTAATCCTCATGTTGGACTTTTATAATGTCCACACACTTAGTATCTTATATGTAATTGATTTATGAATATTCAGGTTTCGTGGAGGACACAAGCACATTTAAATAATTGAGTTCGCTAATAGTGGTACAAAAGTTTAGCTTCGGTTAATTGTCGATTTAGTATTCCTATAGGTTACATTTCACTTCAACTTTTAAAAAAATCTAACGGAGATCTGTTCACTTTAAATTGATATCGTTCAGTGGACTAGTTAGTGAAACTCTTAGTTGAACACAGTTACTAATCAATATATCTACTTGAATTATTCTCCATAAAACACTGGTTCAGGTAGTAACCGTAAATTTAATGGCGAATAAGTTCAAAAGAAGAATTTTCTAAAGTATCAGTTAGAAATTGTGACTTATCAAGTATACGATGTGGAAGATGCTAGAGGATGATCGTTTCAATATATCATGAATTGACCGACGTAGAAAATATTGATTGCAACATGCCAGTGCAGTGGTCTAAAACCACTACGCTCTACTTGAAACCTGAATGTTCCGGAACCGATTATATAAGCAATTTGTGGCTTTGAGTTGTTAAAGTAGTTTTGAACTAAGACAGAAACAGCCGTCTAGTGCTCAGCGGTTTTCAATGACTTTTCACCATGCGCTTATTAGTAATTAACCTTATTAAATGTTCCCCAAGAGTTCTAGTGAGAATGTACAGGACGTGAAATAAATATCACCAGTCTCAATTGATGAGGGCTGTTCATAATCACTAATTAACCAGAGTTAGAAATATAGATCACCGAATAACAACATCCTAATGGTCTAAAGATCAAGAAACTGATCCGAGACATGGAGATCTTGAGTTTGATCCCCATGTGATCGTAGATTCTTATAATGGAAGATTTGTATGTTATGATGAGATATTTGTCTTTACCTTCTTGGTTTTCAATATTTATATCTAACATCAGTTACTATGTGATACAAAATCACAAGTTTTTCATCATATTGGTGTCATTCTGCAAAGACATTTATCTCCAGACAATTATTTTCGTACTAATTGTATTTTCTCATATATAAATCTCTCAAATGTCACTATGAAACTATCTATTCGTCTCTTCAGTAACAATATTGATCAATCTCTTACATCATTATCAACTAGTCTCATTTTTCTAAAGAAAAACTGCTTTTATGTAATAACTTGAAAACCGCTATATAGACGGGGTGGTGTGGTGTGTGTGTGCGTGGGGGGGGGTCGGTTGGTGATTATCATGTTATCTATACTAGACTGATATCTTGTTTCATAATTTCTTAAACTGAATTTCTTCCACCTATCCATGATTACTTTTCTCATTTGAAGTTATTGTAACAAATTCATTGGATTTAGTTGATATGTAGGTTGGAATCATTACTGACTTTATTGTTTCTGACCTTTTTGTTTTTGTTTTCTCTCTTCTCCTAAATGTTCAAATAACGATTGTGTAATAATAATGATAATGATACAGATGAATGAAATTTTGATTGAGACATTCAATGTGTTTTACTTTTTAAGTAGTATATTATGAAGCTTAGTTTTTAAGTTTCCCTATATATACATATTAAAGTTACCTAAGATATTACTGATAAAGTTTTTTTTTGTTTTTCTTTTTTACTGATATTCAAGACTGAATATGACTAGTGTGCAGATTAAGACCTTGACGCTATAGGTTGACTGGCTTAACCTTGAAGCTATTATGTATAAGTTCTAAGTGAGACCAACGGCTTGAAGTAGAGAAACGAAAACTATTCTGTCACCTGACAAGTACGCGAGTGAGAGAAGACAAGTCAACTGGAACAGTACACGATTGATTCCTAATTTCGGTTCACACAACGACTTCGTTCCGATTCAGATTAGTGCAATAAAGATATATGAATAAATAGATGACTAACATGACTCCAAACAATTAGGAAACTACAAATATATTGAAAACTAGGTATTAAGGTAGAAAAATAGAGTACTAAAGTGCCCCTTCCAGCCAAACAAGTTAGTAAAGCCTAGTAGGCCCTTTTGGAGAGAAACAGGCCACATCAAAGCATGGCATAACTACCGTAGCTAGAATAGCTGTTTTTGCAATCGGTTGGAGTTTTCCCCGTAGGGAACAACATCGTACATTCCATGCACCACTTTTATGAATGTTTTGTCGTTTTTCGATCCAGGAGTAATTGTGCCGGAATTCTTTGTGGATTTCATAATCAGTTTGTGAGTATCGGTCGAGTGGGTGATTAGCTCGATCTCTACCACCCGGGTTACCGATCACGTTAGTTCATGGGACTGAGTCCCACTATCCAGGAGGTACCATGAGGACATATGAGTTGGGCTTTGCCTCCTAGAGTACTAAAGGTTATATTTGAATTACAATGAACCTCAAAAGCAGTTATTATCAAGATAAGATTGTGACAAGAGAGAGACATACACATGTTTTGGTAATGAACAATAACATCGAACATAATACGAAAGGGTTTCAATGCAACATTTATGATGCTTGTATTACTTAGGTCTTAAGCCTTTTTCCACGGCCTTCGGAAAATGTTTCTAGCATTTTAGTCGATTTCCCTAACAATTGATTTTTTATACGAAGTGTAAGAATCATCTTAACATGATTGTCATATGTTATAGAGTTTAATTGACATACCTAGATGCATTCTGTTCTAGCCTGGTATTTCTGCTCTGACCTTGTTACTTGAAGAAACGTAATCAATCAACCAATCAATCAATCCATTTCATCAAAGTATTAATTGAACACGTGAAAATCTCCCACGATGCTTCATAAACAATTGAGACAAATTTTCAACCAGTTCTTTTAGGAAAGAACGGTAATGTTCACTTCACTTACTTACTTAGGCCTGTTACCCCCAATGTAGTATAGGCCACCGACCAGCATTCTCCAACCCAGTCTGTCCTGGACCTTTCTTTCGAGTTCTATACAATCGTTCTTCATTCTTCTCATTTCTGTCTCCATTTCTCGGCGTAATATGTACTTTGGTTTCCCGCTTCTCCTTTGGCCTTGAAGATTCCAAGTGTGGGGTTGCTTCGTAACGCAGTTGGGTGCTTTCCTCATTGTGTGTCCTATCCATTTCCAGTGCTTGTTGTTTATTTGTTCCTCCACTGGAATCTGGCTTGCTCTCTCCTATAGTAGGTTGTTGCTGATAGTGTCTGGTCAACGGATCCGAAGTACTTTGTGTTGGCAACTTTTAATAAACACTTGTATTTTCTGGATGATGGCTTTCGTAGTACAGTAGAACTGTCTTGACATTTGTATTGACCTTGGTGTTGGTTGACAATTGTCTTGAGTCCCAGATGTCCTTCAGTTGTAAATATGCTGTTCTTGCTTTGCCGATCTGCGCCTTCACATCTGCATCGGATCCACCGTGTTCATCGACGATGCTGCCCAGATATGTAAAGGTTTTTATATCGTCCATAGCTTCTTCATCAAGTGTGATTCGATTGGTGTATGTTGTGTTGTATCGAATAATGTTGCTTTTTTCTTTGCGTATCTTGAGACCTACTGCTGCTGCTGCTACATTGGTCGTCTTCTCCTAAATTTGTTGTTGCATGTGAGATAAGACAGCCAGATCATTTGCGAATTCTAGATCATCCAGCTATATCCTAGCTGTTCATTGTATCCCATGCTTCTCCTCAGGTGTTGACGTCTTTATAATCCAGTCTATCACTAGGAGAAAGAGAAAGGATGAGCGTAAGCAACCTCGCCTGAATGTTTACTTCACACTTTACACAATATATGAATTTTGCAGAAAAATCTAAAAGTCACATTCTCGATTCTGATTGAATAACCCTTATATTATCTTTTTACCTAAGTCTTGTCTTTATATAGGCATTTGATAAAATTACAACTCAAGTCAATCTTCAATTA